CCTATGTGGGAAAACAATATTTCGAGGTATTACATAATTTTTGGACTAATCAAACTTATAAACCCCCAGCACAAAGTACTGTAGGGTATAAAAATGTAAAATCATGTCTAGCAATCTTTATGATTTCATTTTAACACATGAAGAAAATCATAAATACTTAATTTAAATTTCAAATTTAATTATCGAAAGAAAACAAAATTGGTGCTATTTGTTTTCATTTTTTCTTCTTCAAATCACAAATTGCTTGATATTTTTCCATGAAATTTAAGAACAACATGAAATTTGAGTAGAAATGCAATCAACAAATTTGCTAAAACAACAAACACACAATCTTAAGTGACAAAGTTTTACAATTACGTATATAAGTATGATTGTGTGGGTGTATGCCTATTTGTACAGTCGTAGTAGATGTTGTTTCCGAAAAAATCCTTTAGGCAAAATTGAGATGTTGGTCTTTTTTTTCAGAAAAGAACTTCTTGTTCGTCTTCTTGGCAATTAATTTTATTTACGAGGCAATATGTATGTGGAGACGGCAATTTTGATAATCACGTAGCCATATGTAGACGAGAAGCGTACACACATACATACTTTGTGTGTGTATGTGTATTGCTTTCTTCGTATGGTAAATGTCATATCCTTATTTTTGGGGGGTGTTAGAATAAGTCAATTAGGAATTTAGGTATATCACCAAAAAATTAATTATAACTATTTAGCACATGTCATATGGTTGCTACGCAGACACACAAAGCTTTCGTAGGGTATGTATGTATGTACGTATGTGAGGAGCGAAATGTCACACGAAATATATGTAATTAAAAGCGAAGGAACGACAATGAATGTTGATTGTCATGATAATTAAATTGATTCCCCCAACCGCAAAGTGAGGTGGATAATTCAAGTTTTCTTTAGTCTTAAATCCTTAACGTATTACTATCGAAAAAATATGACGAATAGAACAAAGTAAATTGTTTAATAGTTTTTTTCCAAATTAATAATCATATGGAGGAATATTAATTTTGTCATTCAGTTACAACACCTCGAAATATTCGTGGGAGGCTCCGGATGCCTGTCTTTGGATTAATTATGGAGGCCAATTTTTTTTTAATGGAAAGCATTGAGAAATGTAGAAACATTCAATTATGATAAGGATATATATTATCATAAAATAATATATATTCATAATCAGCGTAAAATTATAAGTCGATGTCCGTCTGTCTTTCTGTCTGTTGAAATCACGATACAGCCCAAATTGTTTGACGTAGAGCTTCCAAATTTGACACATAAATTTTGTGTCTAGGATGGTTGGCATCGATAATTGGTCGGTCCACGTTTTGACATAGCCCCCATATAATAGTACCTCCAAATATTCGATATATTGAAGCCACATTTTTCCACGAATTTTTCTAAAAAATGGTATTCTAGTTCTATTAGGTTCTAGCTCCGGTGGCGTAATATTATTTATATATATATAGGTACGATATTCGGTATTTTGAGCTAGTCATATTTTTTACGGATTTGTCAAAAATTTGGTATTGTAGTCTTATTGGATTCTATGGATGTCAGAACATGGTACATACATGGTACATGGTACATATAGCCCACATATAACGGTACCTCCCAATATTCAGCATTTTGATTATTTTTTCCATGAATTGTCCAAAAAGTTGGTATCTGTAGTTCGTAATGGGTTCTAGCTCCTGTGGCAGGACATTGAATATGTTGGTCCACTTTTTTCTATAGCGCACATATGACGGTGCCCACCGATGTTGGCATGTTGATAATCCTGGTCACATTTACCCACGAAATTGTTTCAAATTTGGTATTTAAGACTCGCGATAGTTAACAATCCTTGTAGTATAAAATTGGTGATTTCGTTAGTTTTGATATTTTTTCACAAAAATGGTGGTCCATTTTACAAGCTAAATATTATCTGATGACCATTTAAAATTCTAAGCTTCAGCACTGTCCTAAACTCTACACTCCTATAAAAATTCCATGTCTTTTGATTCTTGTTGTGAACGGTAGGGCGACTGTAAAATCTAGACAATTTTTAACAAAATTTTTCTGAACATTTTTAAGTTTTTGTTCAATTTTAAGCATTAAATATTTTGCGAAAATCTCCCAAAACAATATGCTTCTATCCTGACCCTAACCTTACCCCCATGCAAAATTTCGTTAAGATCTGACGATAATTGTGACCTGAATATACTACTCCCAACACATAGTAAAAATGCAGCTAAATTCGGCCGGGTCGAATTCTTAAAACCCTCCACCATATGGAAAAAACTTGAAAATTAAGAAAAAAAATCTGTCGAAAAATGCTGCTTAAATGATTATATATGGGGGCTGTAAGAAGACGTGGTCCTGCATAAGCAGTTTTTTGTTATAGGGATATACGATATTTTTATTAGCCCATATAATGCTTCCTCCCGATTTCCAAAATACAAACCCTTCCGGAATGGAGAATTTCCAATCAAAGAGGTTGCAATTAAATATTTTGAATTCTCATGGGCCCCTTCGGCGAGTTTTGAAATCCTAGTGGCATTTTCTGCTGAATATTAATTGGTATTTTTAAATTTAATATATTATACATACCATCGACAAAATGGTCAATATGGGATCAGGTTTAGAACCATAACCTCAAAGCCATAAATTGTATATTTTATTTGATATGGACAAATATAGGACTTACGAACCCATTTCTTCTGTGCCTTCCCACAAAGAGTCAACATTTTGGGTGATTTAGGGTGATGGTCAGTATTGAAGCCTATTGCTTTTGGAGGTATTCGCAAAATGTTAAGGAGTTGAAATGTAAAACTACAAAAATTCCTAATTTTCAACCGCTCTACAGGTCACAATTAAGTTTTGGATAGGCCAAAGGCGTTGGATGTCCATCAGATAATATTTAGAGTACCTATCAACACAACAATGTTACAAAAAATCGACCAAAATGGGTTGTAACCTCGGGGCTGTTTCCAATTTATTATAGTCTTGTAGTCGGCCCCGTACGGCTATGAAAAATACTGGTTTACAGATTCTCTTTCGTACCATACCATACTATGTCATTCCGTCTGTAACACCTCAGAATATACATTTTAGACCCCACAAAGTATATATACTCTTGATCAGCATAAAATTCTATGTCGATATCCGTCTGTCTGTTCGTCTATCCGTCTGTGGAAATCACTCTAGCTTCCGAACGAAATGAAGTAAGTTGATAAAAATTTACTCAAATGTGTAATACGTCTGCAGGACTTTTGGTATTGAAAATAGGCCATGTAGGTCCACGTTTTGGTATAGCCCCCATATAATGGTACCTCACTATTTTCGTATATTGGTGATTTAAGCGACATTATTCACCGGAATTGTTTCAAATTTGGTATTTTAAGTTCGTAATGGATACTATAGCCTATGACAGAAAATTGTCTGTGCACGTCCACGCCTTCGTATAGGCCCCATATAACAGTACCTCCCTATTTTCGGTATTTTAGTGATTTAAGCGACATTATTCACCGGAATTGTTTCAAATTTGGTATTTGAAATTCGTAATGGATACTACAGCCTATGGCAGAAAATTGTCAGTGCAGGTCCACAGGGCAACTCCCTACCTCCACCTCCCACCTTGTGATGAATACCACCTTGTGATGAATTTAGCTAAATTATTCACCGAATTTTTCGCATTAGGATATTGTAATGGCTTATGACAAAACATGCCTATGCAGATCCACGCCGTCGTATAGATCCTAATATATAAACTAAATTTGGTATTTTTAAAATTTCAACAGAATTTTTAACTGATTATTTTTATATTATTTTTTATTTATTTATTTTTTATTTATTTATTTTATTTATTTATTTATTTATTTTTTTTTTTTTTTTGAAAATTGCCAAATTAGTTCCAAATGGTGGAGGGCATTCAAAGCTCGGTCCGGCCGAACTTACAGCTTTTTTACTCGTTTTTTTATTTTTGATTTTCGGGTGATTATGTAAGATTTAGACTTTGGTGTATTCTGGAACACACAGTAGAATGGTATGAAAAAAAAAATTAGAATAAGCTGACTCCCATTTAAATGGAGTTTAGAGCCGTATTTAAAAAAGGACCAAAATATCCTTTTTTGTCTCGCTTTAGAGTTGAAATAATCCTCGAATTGTAAAAGTAATACTACTGAAGGCACTGTATACCTCAAATGTAAGGATTTCAAAAAATCTTAATTCATTTAAAAATTTCAAAAAATGTGAAAGATGATGAAATTGGCCCTTATTTAGTTAACTTTTCGATGTAAACTTTCAAAGTGCCGATACACGTTCCTTCTAGTTTTTAGCTCCACTTTCAGAAACTACTAGGGTCTTTTGTGTATTTATATTTTGTGTTACATAGTATTTTTATTAATCAGTCATTGCGGATACAATTACCATGCGGTAAAAATTTCTATATTTTTAAGCAATTTTTCTTTCAATTTTCCTCTTAAAGCTGCTTATTTAATGATTGAGTTTAACACATAATCAAGTTCTTAAAATTGTACAGAACTAATATATTCTAATGAATTAGCACTTAACAACCCATGCAAATTAGGAATTTGCATGCGAACACACCCTGCTCTGCTCTTGTCAAAATCAAACAAATCTCACACCGAGTGTTGTTGACACTCCCTCTCCGCATTGGCTGCAAAGTCAAATTATAAATTCAATGAGCATTTAAATGGGTAAATCAAAAGTTCATTTCCATCTTTACAACCCTCAGTGAGCACTTGGTTCCGTCTGCTTAAAATTCACAGCAAGTCACAGTCGGTGGCACTCAATTAAAATGAATAAATTAAGGAAGGATTTGTTGTCGTTTTTTTTTTTCATTTCAGCAAATAGAAAAATATTTACATTTTTTTGGTAGAATTTTTGTTATGACTTGGATGAAAAAAAAAACAACAACAAATGTGTTGCTATGTAAGTGTGTGTGACCAGTGTGTTATTTATTTTTATTTTCAAATAATAAAATAATAACTTACATTTATTTAGTTCAGAATTCCCATAAAATGTTTACGATCCTTGTTCTTGAGGTCCTTTGCTCTATTGGCCAGCTAATAAATCTGCAAAACAAATAAAAGAAAATTTCATTGTCATTTAAAGTTGTTTTGTTACTCTCAAAATGACTAGACAATTTCAAAATTGCAATAATAACAAATAATAAATGTGAATTTACTTAAAAAAATATTTGTTTTTCTTCATGTCTGCAAAACCAACGCATGTCCAGATGCCTGTCTAATGGCTTGTGTAGTTGAAAATGGCTGCGATAAATAAAAACAAATACCCCAGTCATTATTGTTGTGTCAATAAAAACAAATAATACAAAACTATTGTTTTCTTTTCTTAACTACCTTGGCAATGAGCCAAAGAATTTTTATGGTTTTAAGGTCAAGTTCAGCTATAGACATGGTTAAATGGAGAATGTTAATACCCAATTGCTGAGTAATGCTTATTGCTAGTAGTACATATCAGAGCAGTACCCCAAAAGAATTGTATTCATTACCACAGAGATATGTAACATTTCTAAAACTGTTTATGCCAAGTGGGTATCCTTACGCTTCGTAAAAACGGAGTTATTATTTCATTTGCATTTTGAACCTATTTCTATCTTCGGTATGAAAATATGGCGGAACAACTCTAGTTTAGTTAAAACTTTTGGATTTTTCTTTGAAATTTTTTTCCTCCATATTATGGAGGTTATATTCACTTTGTCATTCCGTTTGTAACTCCTCGAAATACTCATGTCAGACTCAACAAAGTATATATATTCTTGATCAGCGTAAAATTCTAAATCGATTTAGCGATGTCCGTCTGTCTGTCCGTCCGTCTGTCTGTTGTAATCACGCTATCTCTCGAACGAATTGTGATAGAATTCTAAAATTTTGCATTATGTTTATTTTTTCAGTAGGCAGGTTAAGTTCGTAAATGGGCCATGTAGGTCCACGTTTTCATATAGCCCCCATATAATGGTACCTCCCTATATTCGGTATTTTGATGCTTTTAGCGACAGTATTCACCGGAATTGTTTTAAATTTGGTATTTGAAGTTCGTAATGGGAACTACAGTCTATGACAGAAAATTGTCTGTGAAGGTCCAGGTCTTCGTATAGGCCCCATACATCAGTACATCCCAATATTTGGTATTTTGACGAGTTTAGGCACAATAACCACCGAAATTGTTTGAGATATCGTATTTGAAGTTCGTAATGGGAACTACAGTCTATGACAGAAAATTGTCTATGCTGGTCCAGGTCTTCGCACAGTTCCGATATAACGGTACCTCCCTATATACCATACTTTGATGATTTTAGCATCACCGTTTATTTCAAATTTCGAATTTAAATATGGTAATGGCTTATAACAAACAATGCCTATGTAGGTCCACGTCGTATAGACCCCAATATAACGGTTATATTCGATATTTATAAAATTTTAACAGAATTTTTAAAGGATTTTATTTTTTGAAAATTTCTAAATTCGTTCCAAATGGTGGAGGGCCTTACTGCTTTTTAACTTGTTTATATGTGGGACGGACCCAGATACCCAGGTATTTGATCCAAAATCCGGGTCCAAGTCCCGTGTTAGACCAGGACCTACTAAGCAGATATGACAAATATACAGGGTGAGATGAAAAAACTGCAACCAACTTTAGACTGCTATCATTTCCAAGCCACTCGTCCGACAGCTGTTAAAATTATTCCAGTGACAGCTCATTATATTGTTTACAAGCGTACCAAAGCATTTTGGTGAGAATTGTCCAGAAAAGTTATTCGTGATGGAATTCCAGAGCACTCCAGCATTTAAATGTCAATAAATCTTATTTGTCTCGGACAATCGCTCGTTATCGTAATACTGGTAGCGTAGCCCGACGTCAATTAAGTGGACGGAAGAAAATAGCAACATCAGCAGAAATGGTTCGAAAAGTAAAGAATGACTTGATCGAAATCCGCGTCGCAGTGGCCGACAAATGGCTAGTGAGCTGAACATATCGCAATATTCCATTCGACAAATATTGAAAAATGAGATCGAGGTAAAACCATCGCAATTCCAAAAAGCGCAAGAACTTACACCGCAACAGATATAAAATAGACTCAAAGAGCTAAAGAGTTGCTTCGCTTGGCCGAAAGTTGTGAACTGCCGAATTTGGTTTTCTCCGCTCCGATGAGAAAACATTCGTTGTCCAGTAGTTTGTAAAGAAATAAAATGATCGTTTTTTCTTGCAAAGGAGGTCAGCTTAAAATGTGCACCTTCGATTGGCCACCAGAGCTCAAGCGCCGCCGGTGATGGTATGGGCCATAAGCAGCCGATGGTCGCTCTTCATTCAATAAAATTTAAAAAACGTAAAAATTATATCGTTTTACTTTGTTGCAGTTCTATTTTATCTCAGCCTGTATATATGAGAGCTATAACTAAATTTTAAGCGATTATTTCCAATTTCAATAGGATTCGTCCTTGGAACAAAAAAATTTAATGCAAAGTTTCTTCTTGATCGGACACAAATGCGACCTATATTTTGTTTACAAAAATTCTTGGACAAACGGACGGGTGGAAGGACAAACATTAATCGGCTCAGAATGCGAGTGAACTATGGGCCTAACACGCTTTCTTCTCTATGTTACAAACAAATGCACAAAGTCATAATACACTGACCACAGTGTGTGTAGGGTGTATGAAACGCTGGCAAATAACTGCTGGAAGTGTAAATTAATCGCTTTTTCAAAATCAATTTAAAGGATTATTTATCTCCCCTATAAACCTACTTCATTCTCATCCCTCACATTCTCCAAATAGTACACACTATATATGCTTCTCTCTACTCTAACTTAAAATCAAAAAGACATTCCGAAAACGATAGCTATGTCAATCATGAAATTCTCTATGACAAACAATATCCCGGAAGATTGCAAAGAGTTTTATTAATACTCCCACAATGTACATTCCTTACAGTTTTCCTCACACGCACATACACACACATAAGCCTTAATTTATCTTTGGCAGCAACTCAACGCCTATAAATCCCCAACCATTCAATTGTTTTGCCTCTAATCGCACTATTTTCATTTTCACCAAAAATATCTAAAAAGAGGAAGGCAAAACAAAAATAGCTTAACCGAAAAGGCTTTAATGGGCTGAGATTGGAAAGACGTGATTGGCATGTTCAGCACTAAAATGTCAGAACGATAAGTCACTGTGCGTCGTTCAACAAACACACATATGAGTGTGTGTGTTTATGATTTCTTTGAGTACAAATTGTTAGGGGTTTTCTATATCGCTTAACACGCACAGGCACACACACACAGAACGCGTGTGTCATGTTGTTTATAACGATAATTTGTATCAAATATCCGCACGCTTTGGGATTTCCAAAACTAACACGAGAGAGCGATTTAAGTTGGCTTTTTATGTACGCTGTCATTTGCAGGGAAAAATCCTCTGTGAAAAGTGAAGAGTTTACAATTTTGAAATAACTGAAGGGTACTTTAAGCCATTCACTATTTTTACAAACGGAAATGGGGAGGAGGGTTGGTTGTGCGGAACTTATTTATTATTTTTGTAGCGAAGTTTAAGAATATATTTTTATATCCTCCACCATTCTATGGAGGGTATATTAACTTTGTCATTCCGTTTGTAACTCCTCGAAGTATTCATAATGGACCCTACAAAGTATATATATTCTGGATCAGCGTAAAATTCTAAGACGATCTAGCGATGTCCGTCTGTCTGGCTGTCCGTCTCTCTGTCTATCCGTCTATCTGTTGTATCTTTCCAACGAATTGAGAGAGAAGGCTAAAATTTTGAATGCATGCATAGTTTACCAGCAGGCAGGTTAAGTCCGAACATGGGCAATGTCGGTCCACGTTTTCGTATAGTCACCTTACAACGGTACCTCCCGATATTCGGTATTTTTATGATTTTAGCGACATTATTTAGCGGAATTATTTAAAATTTCGTATTTGAAGTTCGCACGGGGTACTAGAGCCTATAAAAAAAATTCTGTATGCAGGTCCAAGTCTTCGTATAGCCCCCATATAACGGTACCTTCCGATATTCGGTATTTTGATGATTTCTGCAACATTATTCACCTGCATAGTTTCAAATTTCGTACTGGATGATACTAATGGGTACTACAGCCTATGGTAACAATTTTTGTATGCAGGTTCAGATCTTCGTATAGCCCCCATATAATGTACCTCCCGATATTCGGTATTTTCATAATTTTAGCGACATTATTTACCGGATTTATTCGTAACGGGTACTACAGTCTATGACAACATTTTTTATTTGCAGGTCCACGTCTTCGTATAGCCCTCATATCACGGTACCTCCGGTATTGAAAGATTTTAATGGGTACTACAACTTATTGAAAAAAAGTCGTGCACAGGTTCACATCTTCGTATCGCCTCCATATGACGGTACCTCCCGATGCTCCCTATTTTTATGAGTTTTGCGACATTGTTCAGCGTAATTGTAACAAATTTCGTATTTGAAGTTCATAATGGGCACTAAAGCCTCTGACAAAAAATTTCGTGTGCAGGTCCAGTCCCCATATAACGGTTTTCATTTAAGTGATATTTTCGGAATTTTTTCCAATTTCTTTCGAAATGTTGGAGGGTATTAAAAGTTCGGCCCGGCCAAACTTAGCTGCTTTGTTACTTGCTTTTTATTTCCTTTCGTTTATTAATCGCTCGACATTTCCCAATCTGTCCTCTTCTTTTAATGATTCTCCATAAATAAACTTTAGCACAGATCCAATCATATTCAACCAGACATACAGTGACACAAAACTTCGCATAACTTAACGGAAGTCATTAATGGCATTATTTCATTCCGAATCTCTGCAATCCGAAATATGGCCAATAAGTTCTCTCTTTGATGTCCTTTTTATTGATTTCTTCCAATTATCCTAACGACTGACATAACGTCTTAATGTTACTTCCTCAGCCTGAACTGGAAAGCGATGTTGACAACATGACTAAACAGCAGTGAAATGGAATTATTATTCGTAATTGTGCGTAGCTGAAGGAAATAACTTTTCAAACTTTGTCGTTTGGAAGAGTTCTTTG